CCCCAAAACCCCAAAACCCCATAAGAAATAATCATATAACTTAAGCATAAATTGAATCGTTTAGTCTATTTATAAATCAAAAATGCAGATAAAATATTTTATCTTTTTTATATTGACTTGCTCCGCTTATTTGATTTGGGGTGCTCCACTAACATATCAGACAAACGCTGATCTTGAATGGCTATTCACACCCTTGAATGAAGCAACAAACGCAGGCTTTTCGTATCTAAGAGAGTTGAGGACAGGTACCCCTAGGCTATACTTTGGTAAATTTAATGATGGTGGTACGAATTTCCCGAGACCCAATAGACTCTGGAATGGAAATATATTTGAAGGGCAAGAAATCGATGTAGCTGAGCCTTCAGCATCACTAAATATGGGAACATTCTTTGGACTGGGAATGTGGATCTATATCATGGACATTACAGGAACTCATACCTTGTTTTGTAAATAGAATCCTAATGCTACTCATCCTGGAATCAGTCTTTGTCTGAGCTTTGATGTGAATAAATTCTATTGGACAGTGAAAGATGGTTCTCTCTTAGGTGCATAATCTACTCTATTATTCGATGTAGATATGCTCGATGATGTGCCAATGACAGATATGGTTCCCAAACGTAATTCAGCATTTTTGCTTTAATCAATTTATAGTTGGATGGCAGTATGTAGCATTTAACATCTATGCGGAGGGTAATCGGACTTCCTTCGGAGGATATTACTTTACGGATACTCTGAAGTCTTATAATTAGACTAAAACATATCGGTCTGTTTATTCTTGGAAAGATGACCCGCTAAATTTTCTCAGTATAGGAGGCATGATGGCCACCACATCTTCTGTCAAAAATCCGTTCGTCGGAATTGTCTAGCATATTTAACTTTACAAAAAAAACCTAGGAAAATTCTAAATATTTGACTAGTATACGTGTAAGCTAACTTTTTTGTTTGATTACCATAATTTATAGACAAATGCCAGCCTTATTGCAATTTATGTAAGGTCTCTGATATCCCAATGTGCATCTAATAATATGAAAGATCTATTCTAGCATGGTATGATTTCTCTCCTCCTCTTTGGACATTTTGGACATATGTATTACAAGATCTTGGATGGTAATCATTAATTTAGATAAACTTAAATTTAGGTTTAACCGTCCTTTGGATCCACTAACTTAGGATACCTACTATAATGAACCTACAAATACAACTGATCCCATTTATGTAGACAAATAAGGATTATTTTTTGATCATCCAGCTAAATTTGTCTAAAGAAGCGCAGCTTTTAACTACAACAATCATCCGACTCTTCCAAATGCCTAGGGAAATATTTAGAGTTTTACCGTTGAAACTTGGATTAGATTTAATTATTCTGCCTCCATTGTCAATAACATGTACGTCGTAAGAAAATTAAATGGAGCTCATTACTTTTCAATGGGATTTGATCTTGGCCCAAGAGTATCAGTATCAATGAATGCAATCTATTTCTATGTCCCATTGACCTCAATGGCTACCTAGCTAAATGCAACTTGGTATTTCTTCTCAACTACGATTATGAAAATTAATAACTTCCAATCAAAGTATTGCATTTTATTCTATGATATCTGGTCATGCAATATATATAATCAAATCTTTGTTGATACTAATAAAGCAGCTTAACTTAGAATCGGTCAGGGATTCTTAGGTATTATTAGAAAAGTCAAGATCTTCGAATATCCAAAGATTGAATGGGAAATCAAGCACAACTAGAGATTAACATGTATATATTTTTAAGTAATATTTACTATAGATAATGGAGGATGTCTTCCGTTTGATGGAAGAATGTGTAAATAGTGCGACATTGAGTTTAGATCAAATGACACTGATTTTAGATATAATTGCTTCTCAGATTGCTAAGAACATCAATGGAATATTGACTGCAGAGTTTGCCATAAAGATTGCCGGTCTTGCTATGGTTTTGATGAGTACTAATGTCTGTCTTGCTATGATTGGGATTATGATCTGCATACTCCTGGCACAAGATGTATTGAAGAATGTGGAGATGGTAAATAAATGGGTTATCATGAGTGTGATGATGGTAATCTGAATAATAATGATGGATGCAGTAACTATTGCAAAGTAGAGCGAGGATGGCATTGCAATGGTGGAACTCCTACTACAGCTGATGTCTGCTATGAAGTTTGTGGAGATAGTCGAAGAGTATTATAATAATGCGACGATGGAAACACAAAAAGTGGAGATGGGTGCTCGTCCACATGCCTTGTTGAAACAGGATATACTTGTCTTGGAGGAGGACTTACTTATAGAGATGTGTGCTTTGAGACGTGCGGAGATTCAAGAAATCGAGGTAATTACGACTGCGATGATGGAAATACTGTTAGGTAAGCATATTCATTACTTATATATTAATAGTAATGATGGATGTTCAAAAGCTTGCTAATAAGAGCTTGGATGGAAATGCTCAGGAGGAAGCTTTACTGCTAGAGATACATGCGTTCCCACTTGTGGAGATGGCTTATTCAGGGGTACAGAAGGATGCGATGATGGAAATTTAGTTAATGGTGATGGCTGTACTTCTTTATGCGCAATAGAGTATGGTTGGAAATGTAATTAAAAATCAGTATTACTGCCATCTGATTGCTATAAGATTACTTGGCCAAAATTCATAGATTATTGGATTGTTGACAATTCAGCTCTCTATATAAAGTTTAACGAGACCATTGTAATTGGAAGCACTTGGAATGAGTCTGATTGGAGTATTGAAATTGATGGTCCTATTCCACCATACAACTTTGAATGGAGTTTGCGAAATAAAAATGGATTAAAGTCAACACCAGATAATCCCATAATTATCGACTTAGACATTCCTTCTTAACTTTATGGACTTGAGGTAAATTTATATGATTAACAATAAAGACTTTTTACTTCAAAATTTTGAACCAAAAGACCTTACTAAGTGGTATATATGGCACCTAAACATAAGAGATAGGCTTTGAATTACCCTTAGAACCACAGGATGATAAAACAGGAAATGATTGTGGAACAAATGCTTATAGATCTATAGTTTTTGCACTACTCTACATTAACTTTGGATTAGCTATTTTGATGGCTTTGCTGCTCTAGACAACTGCTGCACTTTTTCATTTGCTAGGCAATATTTAAATCTGTAAATTTGATTAACATAAGCTAATTTAGTGGGAATGGCTGTAATGTACTAAGCAGTATATCCAACTTGCCTAGTTAATTATTTCAAAACACTTTTACAAGTTGGGCTAAGATTTACTTTGATTGGTGGCTCTCTATTTGGTGGATTCGTTGATGAATCAAGTTTCTCAAATATCGCCCCTGATTATAAATACACAAGAATAGGTTATACATCTTCTTCAATTCTTCAATAGAGCGGGGATCTAATTATTCTTTGGGCTGCTCTCTTTGTTCTTTATTGCATATTCTTCGCTATTGAGTTTGTCTTGCAATCAGTCCCATATATTAGAAATCTATGCTAAAGATACAGATACAACTTTTTCAATGCTGGAATGAATTTTACTTTCGTGAAAATGAGCTTTGATACTTGCTTCTCTATTCTATTTGTAAGTTTTTGAATTTTAAAATTTTTTCCAAGATTGCTGCAGAAAATGAAGATCAAAAGATTTCTACAGCAACAACTGTAGCAGTAGCGGTATTTGTCCTGACTTATCCCGCTTGGCTAGCATATTAAGGCGGAGTTTACATGAGAGAACTTAGTGAGGTCGATAAAGATGATAAAGTAACTAGTTACAGAGCCCAGCATATCTTTGTCGAGTACGATACTTCTCACCCCACTTGCTACTTTTATATTCTTTCTTAATGTATAAAGAAGGCTTTATTCGTTCTTATTGCTATTTCTATGTTCAGATATTACTGTTATGCATTAGCACTATCCTGCGTTATATAGTTTATTTCGCTTATGTATATGGCCTATGTTAGACCATTTAAATCAAATCTGAACAATATTATCGTGATATTTGAGGATTTTATGACTTTAGTTTGTTTCCTTGTATTAGTTAGATATGCAAATAAAGATTCAGTCATTGACTTTGCCACTTCTTAAGAGTATGCAAAAATGTTCTCATTCTACGTTTTAATCTTGATTATTGTTCCTCCGATTCTTGCATTTATGGAGCTAATTAGAATGCTGAGATACTTAAGAGAAATTTGTAATTGGAATAGAGATATGAAAGATGATAAGGATTCATTTGAAAGTTCATAGCCAACAGAGAAAGAATAGGAATCTGAAGACCTCCTAAAGAATGAAAAAACTGAAGATAGTTTGGTAGAAAAAGAGATATCTTTGAGTAGTAGTGAAGATGAGTATGTTCCAAGAAAAGAAAGGGATCCAAATGAACCAAACTCTCTAGATAGAGACCAAGTAGATGATATGTCAGAAGATGATGTAGATTAGCAACCACAATAATAATAATAAAGAGAATAGCCTAAATAAGAATACAACACAAACACTAGAAGTGAATTAAAGACTACCTCAACTCCAGCCAGAAAGTCCCCTGCTGTTTAACAGCCCACTAAAATTGTTACTCCTCAGCAAAAGTAATAGCCATAACTAACAGATTCTAAATTTGATGCTCTTGATTTTTCTTCTGTCCCTGGAGAGGCAGCAAAAGTTAAGGATAGACTTCCAGATTTAAAGAAAACACCTAATATGGATTGATCTCTAAGATCAAATTTAATAAATATTATAATAAGTCACCCTTTGTATTTAATAATTTCATAATTCAACTATTTCTACTAAAAATACTAACGGGGTTTTGGGGTTTTGGGGTTTTGGGGTTTTGGGG